GAGAACTTTATATCAAGAAGTAATTATGCATCAATAAAACATCCCAGCCCAGTCCAGATCAAGTCCAGAAGTCTTATATTAGCCCATAAGTATGACATTAGCCCATGGATTCCTCTTCAGACTCACACAGCACATGCTATGATGTCGAATGTAGGAAGATCATAGGCCGGTGGGTGGAAAGTTCTGCAGATCCAATAGCAGTGGACGCATCTCCGGGAGCCATCAGCTCCATGCGACTTGTCAACAGGAATGTGTAGCAGAGAGAGAGTGTGTCCTACCTCCAGGGAGGAAGAGATGAAGTTCCCAGAACCAACTAGAGAAGGTCACACCCCCAGAAGGCACAACCAGACTGTTACCATATTCATAACTTCAGTGATCTCAAGTTGCACAACGGAATGCTCATGTCTGTGTGCAAATTGATCCAAGAGCAACTTGATTCATTATCCTTATGATGTATGGAAATAGATATTCTTGTGCAGGTTACAAGTGTTGAAATCACAGAAGAATTTGTAAGAGTAAGAGACAGAAGAAGTGTTTTTTAATTATAGCGTGTTAGAGAGGGAAAAGAAATCTAAACATAAATTATAGTCATCTATTATAAAATTGAATTTCTGGTCACTACATTTTCTTTTACAACAGCTTCTCATTTTTTCACTTATAATTACAAGGTTGTTTTTTTACAAAATAGGCATCAAAATTGAAGTAGGAACCATTTCAAACCAAATTGATCAAAGTCAATTATTTGTGGTGGGAGAGCAGAAGAATTTTACACTGATTATTGAAAGAGTTAGGTTCATGGGCTCACTTTCTTGGTTGCAAGATATGTTGAATATTGTTCATAGAAAATATGGTATGCAGTATAAACCTATTACCCTACATCCACTAAAAATTTATAATCCAGTTCATTTAATTCTGCTGAAATGGCATTTGCCACTTTTTCATTCAATCTCTAATATTATAAGTGAAGTTCAAAGGAAGTTACATCACGAAGAACTAAGGCATACACAAATACATATATGGATGTAAGTCTTGTGTCTTGTTCAAACGTGTGGGTAAGGGAGCATGGGGCACCACAGGTTATCAAAGTTTCAGGCCCTCTCCCAACTGAATATGGCCTTGATATCTATGCTCACTGGTGAAGGAGAGAGGAAACTTAGTAGAGAATAAAGCTACTGAGATTCCATGGTGTTTGCATCATGGCGCTGCATTTTTCTCCAAAAGATACCTGAAGCTTGGGAAATGGGAACTTTCAAAAGGAGAGACAATGTGTTGTCCAGCTCCTAAAGCAGGACAACACTGGTATTTGTGTCTGCATTTAGCTTGGATGCAGGGCAGGCAAAGGGGAATGGTGTGCTAGGCTGGATTCTCTAGAGATGCCAAATAAGTGACATCTAGATGTGTATGTATATGGAAAGAAATTTATATCAAGAAGTAGTTCACGCAGTTGTGGAAGAAGGTAAGTACAGTCTGGTACAAGTCCATGGGTGAGATGTTAAGCTGGTGGCTTCTCCTGACCCCTGTAGCTGCAGAGGGTGATAAACCAAGAAGCTGGAAGACAAGGTAGGAAGACCACAGGTGGATGCAAAGTCAAATCGGTCCAAAGTCGACAGTCTGCTGATGACTCCTGATGTCAGCAGGCAATATGGCAGGAGGATTTGGATGCAGGATTGTGATCATTTTATTGTGTCAACAAGGCCTCCATAGGGACATGTGGGCCAAGTTGAATGAGATTGCAGCGTGATTGGAGGGCCTAACACAATTGGTACCAGGAGTTGGGTAGAGGCAGCATTCTCTGATCAGGCTGCAGAACCAATTCAGGAAGCCCATGTTTATGATCTTGTTTCTCTAAAACCGATTGTGTTAAGCAAGAATCTCTAGACAAACAAAACCAGGACACCTATGATTTTAGATAGATAGTGTGTTAGACAGGGTTCTCTAGAGGGATAAAACCAAATTGCTGATAATTAAATATATTTATTTATAAAGATAATTAGATATATAACAAGAAATGAACTGTTAAATTATATACAGATAAATATAACAAATGAACAGTTAAATTATAAGGACTACAAATGGCTCAGAGTTGTGAGAGACTAGCAGTCCTTCTCCTCTCTCTGCTGCCAGATCTCCCTCTATTTATAGAGTGAGGCTATCTCAGCACAGCAGCCAATCACAAGGCAGATCACCAACTGTCAACTGACCACCAGTCCCAACTGCCAGTCCCCAGCTCCAGAGATGTCTTAAAGGGACCTCAACTTACAGCGGCACAGTCCACAGGCTAGGCATCCCACTGGTAGTGTAGCCTATAAACTGAGGCAAAGAACGAGCAAGGCAGCCGCACACTGGTCCGATGATCAAAGAGCAAGAGACAAGAAAGACGAGGCTCACCGAGTCATTATCTCTCCACCCTTCAGTTAATCCTACTTGTATTTATCGGCCAGGTTGGCATCATAAACTATATCAGATAGATTGATAGATAGATTTATACAGTGAGAAGAAACATAATGGCTAATTAGTCCACACAGTAGTACGGAGGGCACAGTTCAACTCACTTACATTGAGCAGTTAATATACTGTAGGTCCTTCAAGTCAGGGGAGCTGCTAGTCCAAGGTCAAGGAAACAGACGGCAGTCTACCTTCAGGAAAGACAGGCAGATTTGGCCAGCCAGCAGCAGACAGCGGGGTGGGACAGCACCTGTCAGCCGTTCTGGAGCATAGTGAAGCAGGCCCCGACGGGCTCTTGAGCTCTAGCTATGTTCTCAGGTCAATAAGAGCTATCAGCCGTGTGGAGAAGCAGGTCCCGAAGGAACCTCAAGCAATAGTGATGCTGTGCAAGGCGACTTGATCCACATGCTGGCTTGGCCCACAGGTAGTGCAGCACATGGTCGAGGCAAAGAACTAGCTCAAGCAGCAGCACGCTGGTCCACGGATACCCAGGGAGAAAGAGAGGTGGGATGCCAACCTCAGAAAGCAATGATCTCAGTCGCCTCCAATCAAGCTGCAACCTGATTAAACTCTGCCACGTGCTCCTATGGAGACGTAGTTGGCACAATACACCCAATTATCACAAGGATCCAGACTCAGCAAAGTGACCAGCTTTCTCACGGAGTCTGCTTTCAAAGGAGCAGGCTGCACCCCGGAGGCGTCTTTCTTCTGCTTGTAATAAGGCTGTGACCTTACCAAGGGGTTTGTACTGCACCATAACTGCTGGCTGCTCACGGAGTTGGCTATGTTATGTGAGATTCCATCATGGAGTTGATTATGTTCTACTTGGCTACTTCATTGGGTTTAATTGTGAATGAGAACCCTGGCCCAGTCAACTTGAAACGAAACCTCACAATCACAAACAGCGACGTCCCTCATTCAGGATCAAAGACCAGAGAGAAAAGCTGGGCTCCATTGGAGAGAACCATAAACCCTCATCCACAGTTCTTTTGGGGGTGACCTGCCCTCTCCTCCGGTGCATTTCTCAGCCTCAGCCTCAGAGGGACGTACCAACCCACTCTTTGGACACATTTCTTTGAGTAAATAGGCAAAAAGCTCAGGTCATTCAAACACGTATCCTGAGAATCAGGAGAGGACTGGAAATGAGTGGAGATGGTAGCTGGGCAGAGGGTGAGGCGTGTGAAGGAAAGGGTAGGAACAGAGCCACGGAGGGAGGTGTGAATTGGGGATCGGTGAGGAAGAGAGAAACACGAGGACTGTGGAAGTGAAGGAGAGAGAAAGGGGACAGGAAAGATGGTGAGTGGAACATGGCCGAGCCGGGAGCACGAGGTGGAGTTGAAGGACTGAAGGGCGCATGGTCAGTCCCAGGCTCGCTCCTCCCCGCTCCACAGTCCAGTGACGGCTCCATCAGACAAAGCCTTTGTGCAGAACAGAGGAAGGCAACCTGTTCCATTTCCTGAGTCAGAGAAAGAGCGTTGCTCACGCCAGCACAGCCCCATGACTGGGGCTTAATGAGCAGAACAGGGGTGGGAGAGAAGACCCCCTTGCCTGTGTGTCACACAACCTTCTCCTGGCCCTGCCTCCTGTCTAGACAGGGAGTTGTCACTTACACTGTACTTTGGAGCCACACTGCTGGGCTGGGGTGAGGCTGACGGAATGGCCCAGTGTCATCTTCCAAGTGACTTTCATCCTTCTAAGACCTTCCTCCAACAAAATGGGAAGCTCCTACAGCAGCACTGTCAAACAGCCACCCCTGGGATCCTCCAGGATATCAGAGTCAAGCAGCTAGCCTCTTCTGTTCTTGACTCTGCTAACAGAGAAAAAGCTATGGAGAGGGAACTCATGGAATTGGATTTGGAGAACAGAGGCTCAGTGGGGTGAGGAAACACGGGGTCCATGATTGGGAGGCACCTGAAGAGAAAGAGCTGATTGGAGCAGCTGTAAAACACTGGGTGTGTACTGTAGAATTATTCCATTCTAAGTTGCCTCATTTGCTTACCCACCACAAAGGGAAGAGGTTTAAGTAACACCTTGAAGATCAATCAAACAACCCGTCTACTCCAATCCTGTCTTTTCGGGCTTTCACCTTCTCCATCACACCAGGATTGGCAAGATGATGACCGTTCCTCATTTCCACACTCTAGGTTGTTTCTGCAGCAAAGAGTATGTGGTAAGCACATGCCCGCAGGACCAATGGACCAGGATGCTGTGACCTATGCTCTACACTTGGAGCATTTCTAACTGTACGGGGCCACCTGCTCATGAACTGACAGTGTTCTAGAGCCACCTTAGCAACATCTGAGGAAGGAACCAAGAGTACTCTGCTACTATGCTCTCTGACTGTGGACCTAGCTCACTGCCTCCTTCCAGCCTCCTGTTTCCCCAGGAAACGCATGTTTGGAGCTGGTTCTGAGCAAATTCATTGGGCTAGGACAAATGCTACCCAAGTGTGCATGGCTCTTCACTCTAGCTCCTACCGCTTCACTAGGATGTGGTTCTTGAGTTCGACTGCGGCAAAGGCTGTCCGTCTTACTGTGCAGCGACTGGTTCTTCTGCTACCTGCTGTCTCTGCTTCTAAGATCTGTGTAGACTCTGGGCACATGCTTTGGGTTTTGCAGTGATGATAAGGATATGAGGGGACACAGGTCTTCCAGGTCTGGAATAATCCTTAATGGGTGCCGGTCCACCTGAGACCAGCTCTGAGAAGAGCTAGTCTTTGTGAAGTTAGTTGGTAGCAGCGTTTCACACCATCTCCAAGGGCCTCCTTGACTCTGTCATTCCGGAGGGTGAAGATGAAAGGGTTGAGGAAGGGGGTCACCACAGAGATCAGTAAGGACATGATCTTGTTGTACTCAGCCGCCTGCGTTTGCTTGGGCTTCACGTAGAGGAAGAAGCAGCTGCCATAGCCAATGACGACAAAGGTGAAGTGGGAGGCGCAGGTGGAGAAGGCTTTCCTGCGGCCAGAGGCTGAGGGGATCTTGAGGATGGTGGAGATGATGTAGGTGTAGGAGACGACTGTTGGGATCAGAGAGCCAATGATGATGACAATGGCCATCAAGAAGAGGACAAACTCAGTGAACTGAGTGTTGTCACAAGACAGTTTGAGCAACTGGCCCCTGTCACAGTAAAAATGGTCTAACACGTTGGATTTGCAGAAGGTGAACTGGAAGGTGGCGTAGACAGGCCAGATTTCAGAAAAGAACCCAAACACCCAGGACACAATCACCACCCAGTTGCAGGTGCAGCTGTTCATGATGATGTTGTACCTCAGCGGGTTACAGACAGCCACGTAGCGGTCCACAGCCATCGCTCCCAGTAATGCGAACTCAGTGGTCCCCACAGCGAGGTACAGGAAGAGCTGAGCCACACAGCCACTCAGGGATATTTTCTGCATCCCGGGGAGCAGCAGCCCCCAGAGCATCGTAGGGACAACAATGGTTGTGACCAGGATCTCCAGCACAGAGAGGTGGACGAGGAAGAAGTACATGGGGGACTTCAGGCGCTTGTCAACACACACAATCACGATGATGACCGAGTTCCCCATGACTGTCAATGAATAGAAGAGGAGGAAAAGCGTGAAAAGGAGACGGTGCAGGCCTGGGGAGCCACGGAAGCCCAGGAGGCAGAATTCTGTGGCACTAGAACGGTTCCCCATTGTTTAGTCCTCACTCTGCTCCTGTGAACCCTAGAGACAAAAGAGAGATGGCTTTGCTCCACGCCGTCCTGCTCTTGAGAGGGGAGGGCAAAGGTTAGTGTGAGTGGCTATTTCCAGCCTAGGGTCAGGGGAAATGCCCCCACTGCCGATCGGGAGTAAGGACAGCTGCCACCCAGTGACGGGCTTAGGGTAGTCCCGTGGGGGTCTGGGTAGAACTGAGCTCAGTAGGGTTGTCGATGGGGGTTTCGGGGACATGGATTGGGTCTCTGGGTGGACTCAAACGTCCAGCCTCCGGTTAGCAGTTATATACCCATGATCCCCACCCTCAGCACTCCCTAGGGTGAGGGTTCACCTCCTTGGCCTATAATCAGTTAGATTCCTGCTTTTAAGATAGTCAGTTCCTGGGATGGATGGACAGACAGACCTTCCTCTCTGTTGTGTGATAGACACCTTGCAGTTTGAATCTGTGCTAACTAGGCCCCGTGGTCTGTTCTATTTCCTCTCAGATGGACAGTATCCATCCCATCCTCAAAGGGGCCCTGGAGCTATCATGGCTTAAATATGCAGTTTCAGACAACAAAGTCAATGGTTCAAATCCACCAGCAGCCCCAAGCGAGAAAGACAAGGCTTTTGTTCCCAGAAAATCTTCCGGCTTCAGAAACTCACAGGGTGGTTCCAGCCTCTCCTATGGGTCACTCTGAGTCAGCGTCTTCTCAGTGGCAGCAAAAGTTGAGAGCCCACCTCATCACTGGCTGATGTGTTGACTTTAAAACACCATTTGATACAGTTTAAAATATATCACTTTGAATCCCAACCATCCTTCACATCACAGGGGGTGCAGTCTTACTGGTCAGATAGAGACGTGGGTCCCCGGAGACTATGGCCCTTAGCCATCCTTCGGGTCTGGAACTGAACCCACCTGGCTTAATTGTCAGTCAAGCAACAGACAGGTCTGTACGGGGAGTAAAAACACTAGTAAGGTACTCACACCACAGACACACCAACCATTTGCCAAACAAAGGGCAACATTTATCTGATAGCTAAGTTGGAAATCGGTTAAGACAGAGAGGGGAGGGCTATGGGCAGCACAGAGAGGCAGTGGGATATGTGATGTTATGCTGAGGACAATGCAAGGCATGAGAGAAAACAAAGTATGTGCACAATGCTGACTGTAGACACCACGAGCTTCTCTGTCAACCTTCACCCAACTCATAGCAGTAAGTACAAAATAACCAAATGAATAAAAGGGTTAAAAGAGCAAGGAATTAAAGACCAGCCTCCCTGCATTCTCCAAATTCTAAAGCTCCAATATTGCAAGGAAATGTGGCATCCGTGTCTGAAACAGCGCTGGCTGCCTGGCTTTGCCGTGGGATTCATCCCACAGAAATGCTTGGAATCCTTGTCCAGAGTGGATCCATTTTTTCTCTGACCCACCTTTCCCTTCAAAGCCCTGGGATGAGGGGAAAATGTCACCCGGTCAGATAAGAGAGAGATCCAAGGTCACACATGCTTGGGACAGGTGGGTGCCTCCCTTTGGCTTCCTCCTGCCCATTCTAACTTGAGACCCTTCCCAATCGCCAGCCCGCAGAAGGGAAGACACACTCCATGTCTGACTTCGGTCTTCTTCACAGCACTTAAAGTCAAACTTGCCACCTTATTATATTCTTACTTGTTTAGTCCTCTCCTTCATTTGATGTTAAAGGGGTGTAGCCAAGAACAAAAGAGGCCGAACCTGTGATGTGTGGAGCTTGTCTTTAAGAAAGGGGTGAAGGATAGACCAGAGGTGCATCTAAGGAACACAGACGCTAGGGCAGGCACAGAGATTGCACTCCCACCCGGACCTGGCACTCGTCTCTCAGAGAGCTTCACCATCTCATCAGCTCAAGAAATACAGGCCAACCTTGGATTTTTGCTTAACACACGATGGGATCACAAGAATCGAAACTGTACCTTCCTGGATTACACTGGTCTCTGCACCGCACAGAGCAAGACTGCACGCCCTGCCTTGACCCAGGGAGGCTTTCTATGGGAAACAGAAGGATTTCTCTCAAGCTGTCTCCCTCAAATATATATGCCAAACTTAGCTGCTTGAGAATGACTGTACATTTGGAGGTCATCAGGAGTAGATTAAGGGTCATTCTCCCTGAGAGTTATCAACTGCCTAGACCAAGCAGACACCACTGTTTTTCCCACAACAAGTAGGGTCACTCCCTTCTGATAAGGATAGTTGTCTGTTTCCTTGTAGGAGACACCAGAGAGGTCAAACCCACCCAAGGATGACCAAGGTTAGGCTGCCATTATGAATCTAGGGTCCGCCCATCTTGTCACATGTATACCCCTAGACCTTCCCATTCCTATGGGCATACCCCTAGCTCATCCCCTTCCTGTTACACTTATGCCTATCATAGATCCCTTTCCTACAATGTGTATGCCTATTGTACTGGCCCTTCCTGTGACATGTAATTCTGTAATCATGTCCCCCTAAAGTGATATAATGCTTGGTTAGCAATAAAGAGAAGGCTCTCTCCGGCTCCCAGGCCTGGAGGCTCTCCCCGGTTGGGAGGCTCCCCGGTTCTCGGTTCCGAGGCTGCTCTCGTGGCTGGGTTCCCCCCGACGAGGACCATCAAGCCAGGCTGAGGTGAGCAATGCTCCATGAATTGTGTCTGACTCCATTACTTGACTCTGCCTTTTACCTCTCATGCTCTCTATGACTTTACTATAATCTTAACTTATTATCGCTGTACAATTGCGCCTACCAGACCTATGATGATTGGTGGGGTTCCCCTCTCCCCTTATCCCCACAGCTTTCAAGTACAAAAGTATTAGTTTTAACTCACTGCCAATGGAAAGTACAAATATTGGATAAAAACTGTTCAGCGGATGCCCATTCCAATGGCTTCCAGGGCCCATGCTATACTTGCTATGCCTTAAATCTTCTTCTGAGGCTGGATTGCACACAAGAGAGGCAAGTAAAATACTAAACAAACAAGCACCAAATTCACTGGATGGAGTGACTACCGACTCATAATGACCCTTATGTGCATTTCTGCGACAGTGAAAGCAGTAGAAAGCCCAGGTTTTCTCCTGGGAGTGGCTGGTGGTTTTTCAAATGGGTAATCACCACACCACCAGGGATCCGTAGACGTAAAATAAATGTAAGGTAGTTGCCTGTGACAATAGCATGCAAGCGGCATGAGTTGGACCAGAGAGTTGGGAGGGAGAAAGAGAGAAAGATGACTCAGTGGATGGATGAGTGGTTGGATGGATGGATGGAAGAATGGATGACTGAATAGTGCTTGGTCCTGATGGAGGTCAAGTCTGCCATATCTGCTGGATCCTAATCTTGGTGTCCTTTCCTGCCCCAACAAGTCACAACCCCGACAACATATAGTCTCTTTAACTGTGCCCATTTTAGTCAGGGACAATTGTTGGGAGAATGTAGTGGTCTGATTTCCCACAATTTTCTGCATAACCAGGAAGGGATGAAAGCGAAATGAGAGAGGGATTCCAATAATTGGCAGGAAGTGTACCTACCCCCAGATTGGTGAGCCATGACCACACCTGCCTTGTGTGGAGCAGGAGGGACTCAGCGATGCACTGACCTCTCTGCAGCCCCCATGTCTCTCTGGGGGCTCCTGGTGTCCTCAGTTCTAGATGCACCCAGCATACACCCTCCAGGCTGATGCCCTTCTCTCTCCATCACAGAGGGGGGCCCTGCCATGACACTCACCTGTACACCGGGGCTGCCCTCTTCCTTCCAATGCTCTGCAGGGCTCAAAGAGAGTGCCTCCTGTCTGGCTGGAGCTGGGTCATGCTCAGGGGCTAGAGGTGGAGGAAGAAGCTGTCCTTGCAGAGGAACTTAGGGAAAAGTCCAGAAATAACACTGCCCTGGGGACCTGAGGGTCTCTTCCCTGGGGACCTTGTCACGGAGGTGCCTGTTCTTAATTAGCCCAGGCTCAGGAAGTCCCTGAGCAATCAGAGTGGGAAGAGCAAAATAAACTTTTTGTTATCCCCAACTTTGTCCAATTAACTTGTAGAACTTTTGAAAGTTTGTGTTTAATGGGGAAGCTTGAAACCTTCCCAATAGGAAGTGTTACGGTAGGCATCTAAAACATGAGTCCAGCATCCCAGGGAGTTTGCCTATTGGCCTTAGTCAAAATGTCTACACCTACGGATGGTGGAAAACTCTGACAAAAGTAGGAAAAGAGCAATTTTTTTCAAAAAGGTCAACAGCTTGTACCCCCCCCCCCAATTTTTTTTAATTAAACAACTGAATAAGGCAAGGATTTCTTTCCTCACCATTCTGTTTCACATGGTGCTGCGAGTCCTAGCCAGTGCTGGAAGGCAAGAAAACAAAGTTTTAAAATATATTTTGGAAGTAAGTAAATTTCTTATTCACATTTGGCATGATCCTATGTATTAAAATCCCAAGTAGTGTACAGAAATAGTGACTAGAATTAAGATGTAAAGTTAACAAGATCCCAGTATTAAATATCAGTAAAAAAAAAAATCCTTTGTATTTCTACATACTTGCCATTAACAGTGGAAATAAAAATTAAATGGACAATTTATTATAACATCCCCCAAACAAGAAAAACCAAGAGATATGTAACAAAATATGACCTAGTCCCGTGAAACTATGACACATTGTTGAGAGATAGTAGAGGCCTACTGCTTTAACACAGGGAGAGAGGTTACAGGTCCGTGAATGATAAGACTCAATACCTCAGAATGCCGATCCTCCTGCCGTGCCACCTCCAGAAAGATCCACTTTGAAGGAGTCCTTGGACTTTCTACTCCTGCCAACACTTCCAGTCTTGGAAAACCCCAGGGGACCTCTAGAAGTCAGAACTGACCCCACGGCAGCAAGTGTGCTCTTCAGAGAGAAGCTCCCACCCTCTGCGCTTGCTTTCCTTGTCTGCAATATCACTGATGTTCATCTAGACACAATCCCGGTGCATCTTTGAGACTAACAGCCTCAAGGCAAGAGGTAGAGAATT